CAACATCAGTTATGGATGCAAAGCACATTTTAGCAACATTTGCAGATGTTTGTGCTAAAATAAAGGAGCATGAGTTAATGCACCTTTTTCATTATATTGTAGGTTTTACAAAGCATGGAAAAAAGCTTTGAAGGTGTTCTCTTTTTTAAATTTAAAATATTATCTTATAATGTATTGTATTGTGTTTATATTATATTCCATTTACTAGGTACGCGCACTGAAATTTTTAAATTAATCATATAGTACAATGTTATATATCATTAGAAAGGCCTTTAATACAGTATTTTAAAGGTGAAAAAATTATTAAAAACGAACAATTCTAAAAAAAGTTATAACGTTTTTAGTACCAAATTTAAGATATATGGAATTGTTGAAGAAACTGTGGTCAAAATAATTATTTTTTTCACTTAAATTATTATAACTTTGTCAATTTTTATCCAAATACCTATATCTTGGTATCAAAAGATAGGTGTACTAATCGGCTACAAGTTCATATAGGTGCCTGGACGTAGGGTGTATCTTGGGAGCCAGAGGGGGTAATGAAACACCATCTAACCCTTAAGAAAATACAAGTTTTTGTCAAAAATAAGCACTTTTTTAATGTAATTGTTAGACTTTATACATAAAATATTGCCATAACTTGATTCCAGAACCCTGCCAAACAAAATAAGGTGATCTTAGAGTTGGCCGTAGATGTGGTTATGATGTTATAACACCCTAATACAATAATCGTACATTCTAATAAATAATTTAATCTTTATTACAGTAATTAAATATTTTGTTAAAAAGTAAAAATATATTTTTTTACTATACAACATACATTAGTGATGTGCACACTAACTTTAGGGAAGGGCGTATGTTGCACCGCCTCTCCCCCCCTGCCTTCGCCCCAACGCATAACAAAAAATAAAAATAATTAAATCTTTATTACAATAACTAAATTTTAACAAGTAAAAATAATATTTTATTACTATTCAACATATATTATTGATGTACACATTGACTTTAAATAAAGGAAGTCTAATGCACCACCTCCCCCCCCCCACCTGACAAAAAATAACGTCATCTTTATTTCAATAATCAAATGTATTGTTAAAAAGAAAAAATAATCTTTTATAACTATACAACATACATTAGTATTGAAAATATTGTTGTATTACATGAAGCAATATTTTTTTTCTATAGAACATATATTAGTGGTGTACAATTTGAGGAGAGGGATGGTTTTCCCCCTTCCCCTCAACCAACGTAAAAAAGAAAACACATAGAAATGATATTTTCAACATTTTCGCATGCAATTATTAAAAAAAGAAAGCACAATACAGAATTGTTTTACCAGATTGCACGAGTATACATTTTCTCATTTAAATGATCATATTTAACCAACCAACCTTATAAAAAACAAACAAAAAAAAAACAAATGTTTCGAAACATAGTAATTAATTTATGTCTTGGTTTTTAGTAAATGATTTAAATTAAGTTCCAATGCAACTAAATAAATCATTTTTAACAATAGACACCACGTGTAGGTAAGCCAGAGCCGTCTATCTTTTTTTTTTGCAAGCCACAAAACTTGCTATACCTATTTGCAGGCCACAAAACTTGCAGTACTTATTTGCAAGCCACCAAACTTGCAGTACACATTTGCAAGCCACAAAACTTGCTGTACGTATTTGCAAGCCACAAAACTTGCGGTACTTAATTGCAAGCCATAAAACTTGCGGTACTTATTTGCAAGCCACAAAACTTGCTGTACCTATTTGCAAGCCACAAAACTTGCTGTACCTATTTGCAAGCCATAAAACTTGCGGTACATATTTGCAAGCCACAAAACTTGCTGTATCTATTTGCAAGCCACAAAACTTGCTGTACCTATTTGCAAGCCACAAAACTTGACTTAATTATTATACTAACGATTTTAAAATAAAATTACAAAGTTGTAAAAAAAAATCAATATTGCAAATAACAAGAAATGCATATACATATTAAATGTAATAGTTTATTAAATTACTAGTTGCAGCAGATGACTAAGGAACTAAAGTTAAACATATTATAAAGTTTGCATAGTAAAAGCTAATAGTTGTTTAACTTACCAGGTGTAGCACAAGAGGTAGATACTAAAATTACAAAGTTGTAACAAAAAGTCAATATAGCAAATAACAAGAAATGTATATACATATTAAATGTAATAGTTAATTAAATTACTAGTTGCAAAAGATGACTAAGGAACTAAAGTTAAACATATTATAAAGTTTGCACATTAAAAACTAATAGTTGTTTAACTTACCAGGTGTAGCACAAGAGGTAGATACTAAAATTACAAAGTTGTAACAAAAAATCAATATTGCAAATAACGAGAAATGCATACACATATTAAATTTATTATTTTTTTTAAATTACTAATTGCAGCAGCTGACTAAAGAACTAAAGTTAAACATATTGTAAAGTTTGCAAATTAAAAATTAAGAGTTATGTAACTTACCAGGTGTAGCACAAGAGGTAGATACTAAAATTACAAAATTGTAACAAAAAATCAATATTGCAAATAACGAGAAATGCATACACATATTAAATTTATTTTTTTTTTAAATTACTAATTGCAGCAGCTGACTAAAGAACTAAAGTTAAACATATTGTAAAGTTTGCAAATTAAAAATTAAGAGTTATGTAACTTACCAGGTGTAGCACAAGAGGTAGATACTAAAATTAAAAAATTAATATTGCAGCAAATGGGAAATCCATACACGACAAGTAATAAATAAATAAGTTAGAAATGCATATTTATTTATATTTATTTAATGGTTAATTAAAGTTATGCTATAATAACTTACCAGCTGTAGTCTGTGCAAATTGGCCTAAAGATAACAAAAAAGTTATATAATCAAAAAATTAAAAAACATCTTGAAATTGTCAACAGTCAATAAAAATAACAGTTATCAAATCAGTTCTGCTTTACGTACAACAATCTATGTAACTAAAAAAAAAGCAATAAAAAAAATAATAAAAAACATAAATTATATTACTGTATTTTAAAATTATATTACTGTATATTAGAAAAACACTAACAAGATACTTTTATAAGAATAAACATATTATTGTAAAAGTATCATTATAATTTTACAAAAATAAGCTTATTTGTATAAAAATATCAATAATAATAATATTTTAAAATATCAATAATAATATTATTCTTAAAATATCAATAAAATTATAATATTATTCTAAAAAAATAATAATGTTATTCTAAAATTATCATTAATAATATTATTCTAAAAATATTTTGTCAAAAACTGTATTGGCTTAAGCCAATAAAGTTTTACTTTAAAGTATAATAATGTCATTTGTATATTTTTATATATATGGTGTATTAACAACATTGACATCTGATACTATTAGTTAATAAAATATTCCAAAGTAACGGTTTAATCTTAAATCCTAATCTTTTTTAATATACCATTGGTATAACTTATACCAAAGATTAAGGTTTTTAAACTTATACTATAAGTTTAAAAACCTTAATCTTTGTTTACATATCATCATGATGATGATATGTAAACAAAGATTAATGTTTTAAAACTTATAACTTTTTTAAAAAACAAAACAATAATGATAAGTTTAAAAACCTTAATCTTTGTTTACATCATGATGATGTAAACAAACTTTGTTATTATCATGAAAAACAAATTAACTTACTTTTTGAAGTCTTCTTTGTTATGACTTTTACCATTTTTTATTTATTATAATAATTTAATATTAAAAATTAAATAATACAATGTAGTAAGAATTTTTTTGTTTACCATTCGCCACCCCCCTATCCTCCCCGTATTTCTCTTACCGATAAAACAAAAACAAAAACAAAAAAAACCGAATTTAGGTACCAAAAGTCCTACACTTCTTATACTATCTGCTCCCTAATATTTTTGGCTGAAATTTGGCATGTTCAAAGAAAATGCATGCAAAAAAGTTCCTAAATAACAAAAAAAGCGGAAACTTCATTCCTTCGATAAGAACTTAATGTGAGAACATCAACGAAATTTTCATGAAAGTTTTTAGCAAAACTAACCATAAAAAAGTTTAGTGGTTATAAATAAAAGTACTATAAAAATCAAGCCTAACCTTTCTTCTTTCCAAATATACTTTTTGTTTATATATGTTTCTAAAAAAAAACACCACTAAAAACGTTAGTCTAACCCTACTTCAAAAAAGCAGTATATTTAAAAAAGCACCTCGTTACATATCTGCTCCCTAATATTTTTCGTTGAAATTTGGCACATAAATAGAAAATAGATGTATAAAGGTGGCTGAACAATCAAAAAAGCGGAAACTTCATGCCTTCGACTACAAATTTATGTGAAAACATCAACCAATTATTCAGGAGCAAAATAATCCGTTAAAAAGTTTAGTAACCATACATAAAAGTTTAAAAAAAATAAAGATCAGCTTCTCTTCTTTCCAAAAAGTATCTATGTGTATATATGTTTCTAAAAAGAAACTCCACAAAACTACGTCTACCCCACGCTGCCTAAAAAAAAGTGAAAAAAACGAGTCACAAGATTTTATCACAAAAATCGGTTCCGTAAATGACGTAAATGCGCGTACCTACATTTACCGTTTATATTGTGTTTATATTATATATCATTTTATATATACATTAACATTTTAAGACCATTAAGCACTTTTTTTTGTCGAATGCATTAAAAAATATATTTAAATATATTTAATATATATATATATATATATATATATATATATATATATATATATATATATATATATATATATATATATATATATATATATATATATATATACATATATATATATATACACATATATCATTTTACATCGTGTATGTATACATATATATATATATATATATATATATATATATATATATATATATATATATATATATATATATATATATATATATATATATATATATATATATATATATATTTATATATATATATATACATAAATAAATGAAATATAATATATGTAAATAAATATAATTAAATAAGTGACTTATATTTATTTTAATTAAGTAAAAAAATTAAGTGAAAATCTTACTCAATAATTGAATAGAGAATAATAAAAGATAAACAGTAAACTAATAAAAATAAATCCTACTCGCTACATCTTGGCAAAAATTATTTTCATTCATTTTGATGTCAAGAATATAAAGTGAACTCGTTTTAACATAGTCATAATATACATCTGTATAACATAGTCATAATATACATCATATATACATAATAATCATACATATATCTGATATTATGACTATGGTTTTAAATACAAAAAAGTTACTTTGAATTCACGAGGTCTTTAACATTTGAAAAACGCATGCGCTAAACTTGTGACGCGCTTTCTAGGTCGGCGTTTTTAAAAAAATTATAAATGTACTTTTGGTGAGGCTAACCAACAAAAATGAAGTTTTTATACTTGAGCCGTAAAAAAATTGGCCTCTTCATTTTTTACGGAAAATGCAACAAATCAGGCCGTGTAATTCAAGTAGGCCATGCTACCACGAATCTTGTTTACGTTACTAGACGTAACGTAACTTTAAAATGTTATAGGAGTAATATTATAAAATAAAACAATGATTATAATATTTTGCCAATATTTACGAATTCTTTACTTGCATAAATTAAATACCAATAAATAAAAGGTTTTTCGGTTTGCGACTAACAACCAATCGAACTAGTTTAAAATTATCGGCTTTTTTTTACGAGTTTGTTTGTTCTATGCCTTAGTTGCATTATGTTATTTAGGATATTTAACCACACTAATTGTGCTATCAGGATATTTAAACACAATAAATATTATTTTTTATTTTATTTGGAAGGTAAGCAGGCTTTGTGAGAAAAAAAAAATGCTTGAAAGTTTTTGAAGTTTCAAGTTTTATCTTTTTATTATTAGATCATCATAACTGTTTGTGTTAATTATTATTTTTACTTTTATATTTTAGTTTTGTTTTCTGTTTTATTTCGTATTCACAAATTTTAGAGTTATGTTCACTAAATTTTAAAATTGTCTGGAATTTATTCTGTATTTTTTTTTTTGTTTACTTGTATACCAGCAAACACATAACGTTATTTCAACGTTATTCTAAAAAAACGTTGAAAATTTCAACGTTAATTCAACGTTTTTTTTAATTAAAAATAAACGTCGAATTTTTAACTAAAAATAAATGTTGAAATTTCAAGTGAAAATTAACGTTTTTAACTAAAAAAAAAACGTCGAATTAACGTTGAAAAAAAACGTCGAATTAACGTTGAAATAACGTTGAAATTTAGATTGTTAAAATAAACGTCGAAATTAAATTTAAGTTTGCCGACGCAAATGTACTAATAATTCGGTATTGAAATAAAATTTAATATTTCTCATAGATTTGTGCGTGTGAAAGTCCTTTAAAAATTATTAATAAAAGTATTAATGTAATAAAAGTAAAAACATTAAAATCGCTAAAAAACAGAAAAGTGATCCCAAACCATTTAAAATATTTTAACAATGTTTATTTTTATTTTGTTTAATGTAAATGTTTACTTAAAGAAGAAAGATAGTTCTTTTATATTTTTTTAAAATTTTATATTTTTGAAGATTATAGAAAAAAAGTGTTTATAGAAAAAAAATACTATTATTTAAAAATTAGTAAATTTTTATACTTTTTATGCGGAAATACCTTTTTTTTTAAACACAAAAATTCTTGAAACGTCAAGTTCGCTTTTATATTGAATGAAACTGCCGTTTTGTCCATTAGCGTGAAGTGAAAACAATTTTTTTAAAAATTCATATTTTTCTCTAATTACTTTAATAATAATAGGAAAACTAAAAAAATGAGACCAATATGAGCAAAAATAGACAAGAATTATTCCCAGCACTAATTTTTGACCAATATTACTTATTATTGAATGCGCAAACTTAAAGTTTTTTAAATATTATTTTTTTTAAGAGGCTTTGTATTCAATAAATAAATAACAATATTAATTATAATATCTATAAAACTTGCTATCATTTAGTCAGTTATAATAATTATCATCAATTATATATTTTGAGTTTTGTTTTAAATTTCAGTAAATAAAATGTTAAGATCTAAAGCAGATCATCCATTTTTTGGGTATTCAAAGCCACTCTCTGATGTACAACTACCAACACGACTAGATGTCATGCGGCGTATGGTGTATTTAAAAGAAAATGTAAACAAGTTATATTACATACTGTTTGTCAATAATAGTACAATTATATGTAAACAAATATATATAAATATATATATATATATATATATATATATATATATATATATATATATATATATATATATATATATATATATATATATATATATATATATATATATATATATATATATATATATATATATATATATATATATATTATAAATTTACAGAAACCTGCTGGAAAAACCAACAAAAAGAATGAAGCAGGTTTATCCGCAATAGAGGTCTCAAGAATTTGGGCAAAATGTAACATAAACCAACTGTATCATCAATTCCATCTTTGACAAAGAGAGTTTTTAACCTGCAGAATATCCAAAACAAACAGAGCTCAAACCTTAATTATGCAGTGTCAACAGATTCTTTCATTTCTACCAAATAATTTACTTTGAAATGGCCTGCTATCGTTGAAAACATCCAGGCATCAACACCATCATCTTCAAAGCAGATGTGATTGTCTCTCTTTCATTAGCCTGTGAACGCGATGGACTATCAGACAGATCGGCTGCAGCTGTGGCATCTGCTGTACTTGAGAATATTGGCATTATTTCATATGAAAACAAAACACAAGTTATTGACCACCGCAAGATCAGGCGTGAGAGCATAAAAACAAGAGATAACCAGAAAGTTGGTGAAATCCAAGTAAAAGCGTTGTACTTTGATGGCAAAAAAGACCGAACACTCAAATTTGACAGTAATAAGAGAACCATAGTGATGGAGGAGCACATATCCTTAAATTTAAGAACC